TCTTCTTCCAAAGAGCTTTCAGAAAGCATTGAAAAAACCCCAAGGAATTTAATGAAGTAATTCACATAATTATGACTGACAGACCAGCTGTTAAGTTTTGTAGAAAGACAGCAGAAGAATTAGACTTGATTTCACGCATAGCTTGAAAAGGTCAACTCACAGAAGCTGGACTGCTTAGAAATATATCAGGAAAGTCAAATGTAGTCAAATAAAAATAGTTTTCAATGACTAACATAATTTAAAAGTAGCTCCTGTGGAGTAATTCAGTAAACTTGTTGCAAAATAGAGAATCAATCCCAGCACATTTCCAGGAAAGTCATTGGGCAAAAGTGAAAGTGAAGGATTTTTAATTTTTTATTTCCCACGCAATCCCTCCCTTCTAGATCAGACACTAGGTTATTTTTGTACTGAACTTTAAAAGGAAGCAAGTTATAATAAAAGTGCCTGCTGTGAAATTTATACACAAAGTAAAAATAAAACTAAAATAACTAAAAATACTATGGCATGCAGTCTAGAAAGAACATTTGAGGAAAGGGGAAAAAAAAGATCAGTGGAACTGCTGGTTGTGGAGGGCATCAACAAAACACAACAGGCTAGCACATGCAAATGGATCAGACTACACCTACTATCCTCATAGGCTGTTTTACGCAGCACTGAGAGGGAAGTTGAAAGACTAGACTATCGGGCAAAGTACACACAAATTTGGTTATACCGTGTCTGGACCTGCATGGAGCCTGCATTAGGCCTCCCAGTGCTCCCAGTTCTGATGTAAGCATGAACAAGGTCAGCTTGCACGCCTCTAGGCCCACAGCAATATTCATCCATCTACTGGATATCCCACCCATATATCATTAAGAGCTCAGCTCACTACAAATTTGGATTTCTGTAGGTAACGTGCTGATACCCCAAGTCATAATTTTCCTAATGCAGTCTCCATTACCAGCATTTTTCAGATGCTGGGCTGTGCCTTCCTAGGACAGTAAAAAAGCTCCTGGAAAAAAGAAAGATTAGAAATTATAGGTTCAACTCCATGTCAGGAGAGCCTAAGTTCACTTCCATTATTTAAGATAGTTGTGATTCACAAGGAGAACAGCGTGGGCAGTACAGGTCACTAAGGAAAGGCACATAAGGCAAAACGTTGGGATATACTGCTCAGTGTGACTTTTAAGCACACAGAAGATTAGCTCACTCTCTGAGAGAGCAAGTAAACGGGTATTAAATGCTCAATACATCCTCTACAATTTAAAATGTTCCAGGAAATGTCATTGTCAAGAAAGTTTCATGACAACGCCATTGTCATTTCAATTAACTATGTAATTTTTATGCAGTAAATAAATGAAAATCTCAGGGAGGATTCATCAAAATCCTACCCCTTCACATGTGATTCCACAATCAAAGGCAAAAAGCTACTATCGGTCTACACCTGGAAATGTAACACTCTGAATCCACAGGTCTAACAGACTGAGTTAACACATGTACATTTTTTGCTGAAACAAAAGCTTCAAGGTCATCACAATGAAAAAGTTTGACATATGTATATAGTTTTTCAAAGTGTATGGTTGTAAGACCTTCTTCAGCTAAAATTCTGATACACAGGCTGAACGCTGTCTTTGATCCATTTGAGCATTCCATCTCTGAAGTGCACCCCATTAGTTGCCAAATTAATCTCGCACATTTACCTTTTTTATTTGGGTTTCTTCCACTCATTTTTTCCACCTGAGAAATGGCTTCTTCCCAGCAGCTGTTGCTTGCCTGGATATGAGGCTGAATAAACTTCAGTTTTTGTTCCAGAACCTGATGGGCTTCTGTTGTCAACTCAGGTGTCTCCTTAGTGCTAACAAGTTTTTCAAGTTCATCCTCAAGAATTATTACCCTAAGTGATGAGCAGATGAACAGAAATAAGTAATAATAAATATTTGACTTCACCATTCCTTCAAGTATTTCATTTAATATCCTGTTATTTTCTTCAAGTTTTAAGAATCTAACCCAGCCAAGTCCTCAAACATGCCCCAACATTTTAAAAATAAGATCCTTTTCTCGACATCAAGATACATTGCTCACCTGCATTCATTAGAGCAATTCTTACATCTAAGATTAAAGGAATAGGACAGTTTCAACTATTTCACCAAGGCAGTGACAAATCTTTAAAAATATTTACTAGGTAGGTGCTACAAGCTGAACTTTCTTATAAAGCATTTGGTATGTTGCAAAATCAATGCAAGATAAGTATGTTTTCAGATTTTTTCAAGGGAGTGACAAAAGCAAGGCAAGACCTTAATGCACTGCTTAGCTTTGAATTTTCACCAGATACTTAAAGAATAACCAGGAAACAATATCAGATTCCATACTGAACCAAGGATCTTTGACCCCATACTATGTGAAGATATGCCTATGACTGCAATGACTATACGTATCCACCTTTTTTGGTTTTAATCTGGGATACAAGCTGACAACCCAAAGAACTCAAGTCTGAAGCCTTCTTCCTACAGGCATATTCTCTTCATTCATGTGTAAACTTACTCATTGAGCAGTGCCTTGAGATGAAGCTGCAAGCTGCGTACCGCTGTCTGAAGACTGTTCAGCTCTCTTGACTTCTGCTTTGTTCTGGTTGGCCGTTCAAAACCTGACTGATGCTGAGTTTCAAAGTACCGATAAAACTCATAGCTTCGCTTAAGCTCCTCTAAGCAGGCAGCATGTGTATGAGGTAGGCCTTGAGTCACATCAGACAAGATATGATGAGGCAGCCGTTCAGGGGAGACCAAGGGCTTGGGGGATGCGTTGGCTGGGGAGAGGAGCAGCAACAGCCTCCTGAAGAATTCTGAACTCTGCCCTACCCAGAGCTGAAAGAGGACCTGCAAAACAGGGTAGGGTTAGCTCTGTGCACCTGGGAAGACAGCCAGCCTCCAAAGTAAATGTACAGATACACCATGGGAAAACATTCCTCGGCCAGCAACAGGAACTTTGAAAAACTGCGAAAATCCGCTGAATGTTTTTGAAGGGTATCCCAGACCATGTGAGGTTCAGATCTTGTGAACCTTAGGTGACTGTTAATTCCTCGATGACTGATATTATATGCAATTATGCTCAGAAGGTTGTGAGAGGCCTAAAAACTCATATTGTCATCAGCAGCTTCATTATTTGCTATAATCTCCACATACCCTACAGCTCATAAAGGGCTGCCAAAATTCCAGTGGCAGCGAAGATGTTTTTTCCTTTATAATACCAAGCTATCATTTCTATGATCTACTAACTACTGCTTTGCCCCATGCTCAACCTTGAAACACGAGTCTAATTGCACTGTACTTCAATAAAAAACATTCTACATCTGAAGAAAGCTGAGCTGCTAACTTAATTATTTTTTCAGCCAAAGTCAGAATTTTCACTAATACCACTAAGGAGGGAAAGGCTTGTAAGAAATGAATCGATTCACAATGTTATATATGGTATAAAAGAGGTCAGTCCATCTGAAACCCACAATTTCAATTTCTTGAGAACTTCCACTTCCCACGAAATGAACTGTTTTCTCAGTTTAGAGAAGACTCTTGGCTTGGTAGACCATGACAGAACAGTAGCATATCATATCTCGCAAACGAAAAGGAAAGGTTATGACACTTTTCTCTGCAATACCGGCCCTTATTAAAAGGGATCAACTGTAGATGACTATGAGGTGTAATCTGAAATCTGTTCTCAAGCATTCCAGACCAAGGAAGACAAAGTAATTGCTCATCATGCTTTTTTCCACCCCCGTCAGCTACAGAACAGGACTAACAATTTACTTGTTCTGAGATTTTGGATCTACAGGATTTGAAATAATATATTTACATCTTTGTACTCATACTACTACGGACAAGTAGCAGCTTTTTCCAGTGTGCAAACAATCAAGAGCAAAACATTCAGAATAGTAAGACAGAAAATTAAATGCCTTCAGATAGATGTGGTCTGATATACCCCAAGTGTATATAAAAAATACTTGGATGTAAACTGATAAAATATTCCAAAAGAAAAAAAAATCTGGAATTTTACAAAAGATGGTTATGAGAAGAAAGAACACAGAATGGGAAGAAATTAATTTTGGGCACACATGCAAGACTGTGATTTGGCTGGGTGCTAAAATAAAAAGCAAACAAAGGGGCAGCAATCACCCAAATGTTCCTGAAGGTGTGGTGCTCTGGATAGACAGTCAAGAGCTCATGCTATAATAAGCACAAAAGATGACCAATCCCTTCCACCAGACATAAGGCAGAAGCAGTGAAAAAGTAGCGCACAAAAGTAGTGGACTTCAGGAACTGATAATAATAATCCAAAACCTACCTGAAAAAAGGCACGGTGATGAGAGAAAAGGAAATTCCAGATGTATTTAGGGTTGCAAATAGCTTCCTCTGCCAATGACTTCTGATGATTTTTACTGACACTTAAACTTCACCCAAAACATCCAACTGGCTCTCCTCAGCTTGAATCGGTATTTTTTCTTAAGCCATAAATTTTCACTCTTTAAATTGATTTAGTTCAAGGACAAGGTAGCCAAAAGACACAGGCTACGTTTGTCATTTGGCCTAGACCTGGGCTTGAATGAAAATTAAAATATTAACCAAATTTGGATACACATCTGTATTCTACCTGCATCTTAATATAAAGACAAGTTCTCTCAAATTAAAAAAAACCCTGAAGAGGACTGCACATAAATCCAGGGCTGGCAACACAAATATGTCCCAGGGTTATCGAAGTATATCTATTTTATTATCTACGGAGGAATCTGCTTAAGACTGATTTATGTTGACTTAGCTTGGTTCAACTACACCACACCCAGCCTACATCACTGTCTGTTATGAGTTAACGTAAACTGAGATTTACTAGTTGTGAGCTTAACTGTACCCAGAAAGCATCCCAACCAGTTTAACTAAAATGGATTTCAGTTAAATTACTGCAAACTGCAGGTAAACAAAGACTTAGTTTACAAGCTCGGGCACCTCTGACCGGCTTCTTGTGCTTAAAAAGAAGTGGGTAAATAAGTGGGCTTGCATGGTTGCAATTAGAACTTCAGCTAATGAAAAGGCAAGAAAAAAATCCCAAAAGCTTACATCTGATGTAGCTCTTAGCTTACGACTAATTAGACAAAGCCTCAGAGCTTAGCAATCACTATTACTGGTAACATTTACTGTTGGAACAAAAGAAGGTCTAGGAATTAAGTGAATAAAATGCAACAAGAGCCAACCCCATAGAAACACAGAAGTCACATAATAATGGAATTTTCCATTAAAAAAAATAATGTTAAAAGGGAACTGCCTTGGCAGAAAACCACTAGAGTGTAGAAGGCTTGCATTCAAATTAGATCTTCTTTCCAATTGCAAACATTGACTCATGCAAATTAAAAATACCTTACATCTCAAAACAAAATAGATAAAAAGGCCGTTATATGGTTGTCATTCTGTTCAGTTAAATGTTTTTCAAAGATCAAAGAACCGCACTGGCTCACGGCAGCAGGGGTCCAAGCTTATGATTTCTACTCCCCAGTTTAACTAAATGCAGCTATTCCCTTTGGCAATTACAACTAATTTATATCTTCTGACCTCTCTTTTTATTCAAGTCAAGAGATTAGATGTAAGATGTAGATGAAAAAGATGTAAGTACAAATCTGGAAATTATTTTATTCAGCTGGGATAAAGTGAAATCAGAGAGCAAAAAATCATGTTTAAGAAGGAGATTGATCAAGCTGATTATGAAACACTGACTCGAATTTACATGATTTGCAGAAAAAAATCCTAATGTTGTATTGTGCAACTTCTCTTCAACTACATGCAAAAAGAAATCACCTAAATGCCAGTAAATGTAGAAACACATGATATGAGACTGATTACATCTCCCCCTCAGCTGACAGTTTTACTACAGACTAGTACGTACAAGCC